TCCATCTGAGCAAAGTGAGCACTTTGCTGCTACATCACCATGGCCATCATCTCCGTAGCCCTAGCGATCTGATCAAATTGAGGCCTCACCATACTAAAAGAATTCAAACATTCTTTTACTAACACTTCACCACTACAACTCACCAATACTAACACATATCAGAGATATGACACAACAGAAACCTAGAAAGATCACTCCCCACAGAGTATCCCAAAAGAATCGACCGGCTCTGATACCATAAAAGTGTAACGACCCACCGTGGTCCCTACACTTAGTGGAATCGCACTAAAAATAGTGAACTAAGATAAATAATAAAGTTGGATAGCTTATAAATACATAAACATGAAAAATATATATGAATCATTAAATTTTTAAGTATTAGGTATTTATACAGTTATCCAAAAATACTATCTCCTAGTGCCGGTCAAGCACAAACGGCTACCCAAGGTGATAACTCTAACACGAGGATCAAAACTCCCCGTCTCGCAGCGGTCACATCAACTCCAAGCTAGCCCTGACCTGCTCCCTTACAAAGTATGATCATCGCAGTCCATCCACATGGAAACAAGAGGGTAAGCTAGAGTTCAAAATCAATCATGAAGCAAGACACCACACATTTCATCATATTAACAATCATGCAATAAATGTATAACAATCATCACCACAAACAACTATACAATTCAACATAAAAACCCAACTCATTCATACAACTTAGAAGCAACTTTAATATAACAACAACAACAACAATATACAACTTAATATTTAATGCGTCGTCACGCATATACAACTGGGAGATCTCCAACAACTGAGGTTGAGCAGTCTAGGTGGCATAAACCCTACCGAATCCAACGTTTGACCTATCTCCACCAGGTCAGGTATAGTACAACGTTAGGAACTCTGAAGAGAACCAGGTATAGACAACAATAGGCGATTTCTCAGGTGTGCCACTTAGACTCGGAGGTCCAGTACTACTGTCAGGACAGAAGGGTTTGGGTGTGAGCCTACCACGGTCTTGGCTAGCTTCACCAATCCACATCCAACAACTTAATCATTCTACACTCTAGCTTCCCTCACCTGAAGATTGGCTCAAAATAGCCAACAACTGTGATGAAATAGAATTCCCTTCCAAAGCTCAACCCGAAACTTCAATCCTCCCAAAGCAAGCTTTCTAATCTGAATTTCAGGAAAAGCCAGAAGGTATTAGTGGTCTAGAGGAGAAAAGGAGTCAAACAGAGAAATTTGGGAGAGAAAGGAGCTTACTGACCCAAAGACCTTCTCTCTAAAACTTCTCTCTAAAAACTCACATTTTCCTGAAGGCCTCTAATCCCTATTTATAGACTTTCCAGAGTGGCCAGAACGGCATGTACCGAATCCGGAACGGCCCGTTCTGCACCCCCTCATCACGTACAAAATTTTCATGCAGAACGGCCCGTTCTGGAACTCAGCCAGAACGGCCCATTCTCCATCCAGAACGGCCCGTACTCCCCTCCAGAACGGCCCGTACTCCATCTAGAACGGCTCATTCTCCATCCAGAACGGCTCGTTCTCCAACCAGAACGGCCCATTCTCAACTACGTTTCACAGGCTAATTCAATAGCTTGGAACGGCCCGTTCCAAATTGGGAACAGCCCGTTCTGGCTACTAAATCAGCCAGATTTTTTTTTACGTTACAAACTGAATATATTATTGGCTACACATAATAATTTCTAATCATCTTAATTAATTACTATATTACATCATATCTTAATTTAATATTCCCAATGAAATATTAGCTAAGAGGTTTCTAATCACTAAGTCTTATGATCAACCATCCCTAGAGTAACAAACTCCAATTCAACAATTATATTTGATTGATATCAAAATAATTTCATTATAACAAGGTGTAATAACACGATATTATTGAATTTTATCTCATATATATAGACCCAAGATTCAATTAAAATTGATTGTATTTTTTAATATAATGAAAAATCAACAATGTTAAATGCCATAATTTATGGTACCTTTGTATAACACCTCAATTATTTTGTAATATGGATAACATCATATTTGACACTATAACCAATCATATTATTTGGAATTGTTAACAATTTCACAACTTCGCCGCTACTAACCAATGTCATAAGTGACAATAATTTTTAACAATTAAACTCAAAAAATTCACATCACTAATACCACAAAGGTATCAACATTATAATATTATTACACATATAATTAGAATACTTAAATAACACTAATTATCTCTCATGTAATATTATATAGAACAACATATTATTTTATAAAAAAATAAATAAAATATATAATTACTAATTATAGGGTAACAAAAAAAAAAGAGGAAATTTAAAAACTAATTTCTCCAAAAATACAAAGCAAAAATGTTCATCACCAGATAAATTTATGTACACTAAAATCTTCATATTTATTTATTTACTTATATTGATTCTAAAATGAGTCTTATGTCATTTATGAAAACATATATTAATGATTTGTTCTTCTCAATGTACAACAATCTTCTTTAGCAATTTACTTTTTGGAAGGATGCAACCATGCATTCCCATTTTCGAATGTGTGAACTCTTATCGCCTAGCATTCATAGCAAGTGTGGAAAGCCGGATGGCGAACCGCGTGATGTCCTCGACTAGAGTTTCTATATCTGCCTCTTCTTTAGCATCCCCTATCTTTTTGGAAGGCTTTATCATTAACACCTACACCTTTGGAAGTTTTGGATGATATGCTAGTTTTTATGGACAAGGACATAAGTCCTTTAGTTTGTTGCCTATACATACTCATAGTACAAACTAATTTGAATTTTTCAAATGTGTAACTCACTGTTTTTAATGATCTATCTATAAATTTTCACACAAATTCTTTGAGATACAAACTAATATGAATTCTTAAGATGTGTAATGTACTATTTTTAATAACTTATCCACAAATTCTCACACAATTTCTCAGGATACAAAATTATCTTCTTAGTGATAGATTGAAGATATGACAAATTATTCACTTAAAAAACAAAAAACATATAAAAAGTGAGAAGAAAAGTTTGTGCATCTAACTTATGCTAATTGTCAATATTTATAAAAGAGAAATATTGACAGTTATGATTATAATTAATTATAGAAATTAAAAATATTTAATCATTTACATTTGATTGAAATTATATGCATTAAATATTATATATCATTAAAATCAATATTAATTAAGATTTAAAACTAATAAGGACATCTCTATATAATTTCATATAACATGCCAATTTCTTTATCATGAATTCATGATTTCTTATTTTTATTCTCAATTCGTTCTTTCATTTAACTTTCCCGCACATTTCCTCTTTATTTTTATTCTCAATTCCTTCCTTTATTTATCTTTCCCGCACATTTCCTCTTCATTCCTCATGCTTTAATTTTCCTTTTCCCTGATTCTTTTTGTGCCTTGTGGTGGACTTGGGTGGAATGTAAAGTTGGATATAAATATACCTATTTTTATTAGATGTTAGGCAAATGATAATTAAGCTCACCTAATTCATAAATATCATAGTTTTAAAACTTGACTACTAAAGTGGTCGATGATTTGGTTCAATCGAGAACCACTTTTTAATCAATTTAATTGATCCTAAAAAATGAAAAGCCGATAGAATCAGTTAATTAAACTAGTAAAAAAATCGGTCAAGTCGGTTCAATTAATTTTTTAAAATTTAATTTAAAATATTTTTGATAAAAAAATATATTTAAAATTTATAAATTAGAATAATTTATTTTCAATACTTATCGTATAATATAATTCTATCATTCGTTAGTTTGTGATTTTCAATATCTTTATTTTTTATAATTTATATCAAATCAATTTGATATCTTTTATTTAAAAAATAAATTTTATTAATAATAATAAAATTACAAATTGAAGTAATATGTATATTAAAATATTTTAATTAATTTTTTTTAAATAATTGGATAGATTAAAGGTGAGTCAACTTAGAAATCTTAACTCGCTAATTAAGTATTTATAAATAATATTTTATTTTAATTTTTAATAATATAAAATTATGATATTATATTTATTTAATATTATTTTTATTGACAATAATTACTAGTGAATTTAGGTCTGTCACTGATAAAACAATACAAACTAATGATCATAAAAATTACAAATCATTTTTAAATTGCATCGTAACAAAATATCTGAGAGGATATTTTGTTACTCTTCATGATATAACAAGAATTAAATACAGCTCTCTATGCCTCATATATGTATATAATGCAAGAATATAATATTGAACCATAAATTTGAAGTCTTAAACTTTGAATGGGAAATAAATAGATGTGAACTCAACTTCATAAAAAAAAACTTGAAAAAATGGTATATCAACCTGTGTGCTATCATTTCTTGTCGTGTAAGGCATCAATGACAACAGTTTTTGAATTAGCTAGGCTTTGTAGAATCTTATGTTCTAGTTGGCCCCATGATATTTATTATTCCAAGAAAAATGCGTGAAGAATTTGGGAACTTAGGGCGTAGAGAATAAAGTAACTTTAATGTTTTAGTTATGCGCTCAAATAATTGTACCTATTCATTCAAGAAAAAAAAATATTAAATAGGGAAGGTCTACTTATAAAGTTAAAATCTCTTATGTTAATTGTTTGAAAAAACTTATATTTATCTCTAAAAAATCTTTATATATCAAATATTATTTTGAGCTTTTTAATAGCCACTCCTTAAGAATTACTACTATTCTTTCTTTCTTTCTTTCTTTAAAAAAAAAAATAAATTATTCACATGTTAATTATTGGTCTTATTGAAAGAACGATGGATCTAAAGTTTAGGACGAATCTATTTTCTTTTCTTCTTTTTTGATACATAGGACGAATCTAGTGTTTTAATATGATTTGACATTATCAAAAGCTAGGGAACTAGATTCATAACTTTTGTCAATTTGAAATGTTGAGAAAAAAGAACATCATACATATCTATATGCCTATATATATCTCAATTCTCACCCTCCATTTTCAATCCTGTGCTTAAACAAATAATTACTTGTGAGTTTATTCAACACAAAGAACAACACCATGTTGAGATCCGGTGACTACCACACCCACATTTCAGAAGTTGAGAGGGAGTCTAGCGTTGAATACCCCAATGCTGATCTTTCCTTCAACAAGAAGGTCGTTTACGAGGAGACAGAGATTGAGGGATCCCACCCTCACCGCCACCACCTCTTCCATAGGCATCACCACCCAGAGACTCGTGAGAGTGTTAAAGTGGTAGAGTATGAGCAAGTGCCTGAGAGGCGCGTTGATGAAGTTGTTGTCTACGAAGATAATAGGACAGTGTGGCCTTGAATTCCATGCATGCATGCATGCAAAGGTTGAATTTCTATTTTGCTAAGCAGATGCTATGTACGTAGTATATATAAAAAATAAAATAAAAAAAATCACGTGTGTGTTTCTATTAAATAAATTCCTGCTTAGCTAGCTGTTATGTCATATATAAATCATATATATCGATAAAGCTATGTTATTATATCTTTAGTGTATGTTTGGTGTGTCTATTTTTCAAGCCCAACACTTTTTCGCGTATATATTTAACCTGATATATTTTTTTTTATAAAGAGGAGAGATTCCTAAATTTTAAACCGTAAAATATAAATAAAAATAAAAAAATAAAATGGTATAATTTGACTTGACTTAATACATCAATGAATTAAATCAAACCACAAAATAAATGGTTGACAAGACTAACTCACTTTACAAATATCGACTCAACATAGTAGAATATTTAATGTAAATAATAAAAATTTGATAAATTTTTTTATTAAATTAAATTATATTTTGGATGCAATTTTAAAAATCGAATTAGTTTAAACTAAACCAAATTTATAAGCAAGTGTAACTTTGTTAAATTATTATAACAATCATATCACTCTATATATAACAATTAGAATACTTATTTTAAATGAAAAAGGTTTTGAAAGATTATTCTTTATCAATCACATTTTAACTGATTTTCTTTGAAAAAAAATTAGAGTTTTTTTTTCAATCTCTCTCTTCTTTCAATTTAACCTTTTAATTTTGGTTTTAAATTAAATTTCAATATTATTAAAAATATCAATAATTAAAAATAACCTTATATTACAAAATAAATTATTTATTATAAATTTAAAATATAATTTATATGTTAAAATATAATTATTTATTATGAATTACATTTATATAAAATAAATTTAATTTAAATAAATTATTATAACAATCATATCACTCTATATATAACAATTAGAATACTTATTTTAAATGAAAAAGGTTTTGAAAGATTATTCTTTATCAATCACATTTTAACTGATTTTCTTTGAAAAAAAATTAGAGTTTTTTTTTCAATCTCTCTCTTCTTTCAATTTAACCTTTTAATTTTGGTTTTAAATTAAATTTCAATATTATTAAAAATATCAATAATTAAAAATAACCTTATATTACAAAATAAATTATTTATTATAAATTTAAAATATAATTTATATGTTAAAATATAATTATTTATTATGAATTACATTTATATAAAATAAATTTTTATTATGTGTATTGAGCATATATATTAAAATGTTAATTTGTATAAATATATATTTTTTAAAATTATTATAATAATTTGTTTTTATATTTTTATTATATATCTAAGATATATCTTATATTAAACCAAAATGTGGACGTGTTCACATGATTAACCACCAAAGCTAGACAGAGTAATTTCCATTTAAAAGTTAAGTTCGACTAATCACTCTAAGCATCATTATTTTGATGCTAAATTTCAACGAATTTTGAGTAACAATGTTCTTTACGCTATGCATAAGGGCCATAAAAGATTGATCAATATATATGCTTTGTACTTAGGGATAAACATCAGATTTTCCACGTTAAGCACGAGTCCCTCGGAAAAGAGAGTTGTGAGAATTGAGAGTGTAACAAAGTGAGCTTTATTCTTTTAAGAACAATTGAAACATGAGAAAAATTGAGACGAGTCCCGAGCTTTAAGACTAAAAACATGAGGTATGAGATAATGCATGTGAAACGCAATGATGATAAAGTGAGATATTTAGTTGTATAAGACATGCATCATTAGCATAAAATTTGATTTTTGAGGTATTAGTTTGGAATTCTATGTCAAGGAGCTCACATTAAGGATGTTCAATTCTAGACTTCATGGTCTACTTGGTTTGAGAACCTTATTTAGCTCAAGATAAGGGATGGGTGGATCTAGAACATTTTTGTAACCCCGATAAGTTATTAGTGGATTTTTCTCTAATTGAGATTGCTTGGTGTCAAATATCTCGGTGAGGTTTCCATATATATACATGTACTCTAGACTATACTAATTTAGGATCGGTCTTTACTTTTTTTAGATCTTAAGCGAAACAATATATTAAGACTTCCTATACATAATTATAACTATTAAATATAAAATGTATATTTATATATATATATAAAATATAAACATGTAATTTTATTATTCTTTTCGTCTTATAATAAGTGTCCTACATATATTATTTTGTACCAGCCAAGAAAAACTAATAAATAAATATAAGACAATAATAATTTTATAAAATTGACTTTATAATTATTCTTCTGTGCTAAAAATAAAGTAACAAAATAACATTTCTAAAGAATATTATTTGAAGTATAAATGAAAAAAAAAAGTATATATATATATATCAAATTAAAAAGATAATATAGCACTTGTTTTAGATTTTTCTTCAAATATGTAAATTATTATGGAACAGAGAAAGTAGAAAAAATTATATGTCTTATTACATTAAGTGCATAATATAGTTTTAACAAATTTTTTAAAAAGAATATATGATTTTTTTCTTCGATCAACTCTCTTGTCATCCTTTATTATTGATAAAATATTTGTTTTATTTGTCGGAAGAAATTTTGGAAATCGAATAATTCCAATATCTGTTGTGTCTTTTTCACTGTTACATGAAATTTAGAGAAGGTATAGTGTACTTTTTATTTTCAAATCAGTTTCTTAAAAAATATTTAGCTTAGATTTTATTGTGTGCAGTTTTTTTCCCCGTTGCATTACACTTATAAAGCGGATATAACTTATTATAAAATCCATCTTTAAAAATTTCAAAGCACTTCTATTTTTATATTTTTCGAATGTCGTTGTTTAATACAAAAAATTCAACGGGAGTTAAGGATTTGAAACACAGTCTGGAACGTGGAGCAGTTAATTTTTTTTTTTTTTAATTACAAATGCCAATGAAAAGGTTAAAAATATAAATGTAGTTTATATTACTTATCAATAATATTATAATATTAATAACATATCAATTTTATTCATTCAATAATAATAAATATATATTTAATATATGAATAATATGTGTAACTTAAATTAAATAGGTTAATAATTATATAATTTTTTAAATTATATATATATATATATATATTATATTTTTAATGAGAAAACTAAAATTATATAATTGTGATATTTAAAAGACTTAAATTATTTCATTAAAATTTTGGAAATCAAAATTGTATAACTATAATACTTAAAAACTAAAATTATTCAATTAAAATATCAGGAATCAAAAAATCGCAAAATTATAACACTTGATAGAAAAAATAAAATTAAACCTTGTTTTTAAAAATAAAATATGATTTTTGGAGTCTCAACCTTTAAATTTTGAAGTAATGTCTTACATTCTATGTTAGTATTTAATTAGACATTCGACTAGTTTTTCAAATGTAAAAAAATTTTCATTGCTAATAGTTTTGAAAATTTCGCCTTTTTTTTTTATAAAAAAAAATATTTATTTATTATATCAATTTTAAAAGGGTGGAAGATATTATAATCACTACTATTATTATTATCATTGAATTATCAATGATATTTATGATATTATTATCATCATTATCTTTCCTAGTATTATAAATATTGTCTTCTTATTATTATTATTATCAATTTTATTACAATCACCATTATTATTATCATTGTCATTATCACAATCCCACAAATGCACCTAGGCATCGCAATCTAACCCATCCCCGTGAGTACCCATCTAAACTCGCCTCGATTTGGACGGAAAAAACTCGTATTTATCGAGTTCGGGTTTGAGTTTTCTCTGATTGATAAAATCGGGGACGGGGCAAGGACGAGGATGTTAATACCTGTCTTACCTGGTCCTTGCCCCTGCCCCGCTTAATAATATAATTAAAAATTTATTTATATATATATATATATATAAACAAAAATTAGAAATATTCACACGTAAAAAATTATATTATCTTATTTTTCTTTTAATTTTTTTTTAATTTTTTCATATTTATTAGAAACAGAAAAAAGAAAAAATAAAAGTTCAGGAGCGGGACCAAGAGGGCAGAGCGGGGAAACCCGAAACCTACCGAGAACGGGGATGGGTACCTAGATTTTACTCCCAACAGATATCAAGGACGATTTAAATCTGCCGAGACGGAGTATATAAAACTCGCCCCCACCCCACCCCGTTGCCATTCTTAAATGCACTCTTAAATTAATTTTAATAGTATAAATAACTTTTAAAGTGAATTTATTTTGAAACTAAGGAAAAAATTAAAATTAAAATTAAAAATTATAATGTAATTTTGAAAATTTTTCAAAGCTTGCCGCTAAACATCAGCCCTAACATGCTAATAACATTGTTTGGTATAAAGTTTATTTTAATAACTTTTGTTGCTGTTTTTCATAAGCTACTTTAATTGATTTATAAAAAAGAAATTAGCTTATAAGCTATCATCTTTTTTACATTCGTTGATTTATTTGAAATCTCTTTTTACCCTAAATAACGAAATATTTATTTTATCATTTTGTATTTATCATTTAACTTATTAGTTAACCTTATTAAACACTTTTCCAATTTAATCAACCACCTTAAAAGCATTCAACTTTTGACTTATGATTTATAAGTTTCAACTAATGTGCAAGTTTTAGCTAAGTTATACGTTAATTTTACCAAATACACCATAAAAAAATGAGTTTGGCACATAAGCTAAAATTTATATAAAAAGAAATCTTGTTTGAAAATAAATATTTTTTATGCATATGAAAGTTCAAAACTTTTAATTATTTTCTAACAACTTTTCCCCTAAAAAACATTATTAACAAATTATCTTCACAATTTTCAACAATTTTTTTTCTAGATTCATATATACTTCTCCCTTGTGATTTATTGTTTAAAAATTGTTTTTTATATAAATAAAATAAAATAATATCTTAGCAAAATAATTCTTCATTGAGCACAAATCGACTAATGATATATATTTCATTTTAATTAATAGTTTCGAATTAATTAAAGTCCTAATTATGGAGATTTATTAAATATTTGGAAGGAGAAACGGATTGTTCTGTAATGATTTTATTTGACTTGAATAATATTACTTTGAGTAGAAGATACATATAATTTTTAAAAAAATGCACATGAAACTCGTCATGTCAACCACAAACGCAATATAGTGAATGAGGTTTTTCTATTCTAGTTCGTTGAGAAGAATCCATA